ATTAGCACAATTAAATGTTCTGGGATTCCCATTCTTCTCAGAGTCAGCCACAGTTTGTTATGATCCACACAGTCAAATGCCTTTGCATTATCAATGAAACACAGATAGATATTCTTCTGGTATTCTCTGCTTTCAGCCAAGATTCATCTAACATCAGCAACAACATATTTATTTAAAAAGTATAAAGAAAAATATTTAGAATTATCAAGTATGAATACCTTATTAGCCCTATACAATCCATGCATTTCCCTTAATTAGGGGACTTTCTTTGGAAGCAGGAGTGGCGTCCACTTCCTAAACAACATGTCTCCGGAAATTTTATGAACTTTAATAAATGACAATAGTTTTAGAAAGGCTTCAGGTCTTTTGTTAAGAGTCACTATGAGTCATGCTTGACTCGATGGCGATCAACACCACCACCAACAACAACTTTGTATGTGTAGTATTGAATGATTTCCTGGAATCTTTTCCACACCTCTACAGAATTTCCATTAGTATTCTTTTGTAGGGTTGATTTGGTGGATATGAACTCTTAAGTCTGTTTTTCTAAGAATTATTTCATTTTCTTCTCTTTCTTGAAAGATAGATTCCCTGGTGATAATATTCTTGATTGACACATTTTGCATTTATTTTAGTACTTTAAAGATATCATTCCATTTTCTAACATTTCTGAAAGTGACAACCAGAAATTGACAAGCAAAAAGTGACAATCTTGGTGGAATCCTTTGAATAGAACTATTTGCTTCTCTATCATTGCTTTCAGGACTTTGCCTGTAATTTTTGAAAGCCAAATTTTGATGGTCTTGGTGTAAATTTCTTTGCATTTCTCTTTTTGGAGATTCTTGGAGATTCTTTGCTTTGTAGATTCATATTTTCATCAGACTAGGGAACTTTCCCATCATTATTCCTTCAATCATTCTGTCTGTCCCTTTCCATCTCTTATCTCCTATGAGTTCCTAATTCCACTAAATTATTCATCATCCTCTTGAACCTATACTCTTTTTTGTTCTTCAGTGTTTATAATTTTGCCTATATTGCCCTTTAATTCACTAATTCTTTCTTCTTATTAAATCTCTTCCTAAGTTCTATTGTGTTTGTTTCAGTTATTGACACTTGTCTCTCTCTTTTAGATTCTCATTTTGTTTTAGCATTATTTTCTTAGCCCTGTCTGTTGTGTCTTTTTTTAAATTTTATTTTATTAATTTTAGTGAACATTTACATAGATTCTGGGTTTCCATTCATTCAATGTTGCACTTTTCTCCCTGCCTACCCCTCCCTCCATATTTGTTGTGTCTTCATTCTTTAATTGTACTTAATGCTGTAGTCCTCCATTTTTCATTTTTTAGTCATCTATATATGTATTTTCACTCATTGTGTCATAGTCATTTGGATAAGCTTTTATTCTTTGTTCTTTCTGTGTCTTATGATTTGTTGTTGAAGCATTGGAATTTTTCAGAGTGTTAACTTTCCACATTTTCTCCAGTATTTGGTATTTTTACCTGCACACATTTTTTTAAAAAGAACTCTTGAGAAGACAGAACCTTCAGCTCTTGCCTACCATTTCCTTTCCTTTCTGTGATAGCTTCTTTTCCCTTACTGGTTTAATTGGGATTTGAAAGTTCCAGATCTCATTTTTCGGCTATATTGAAAGTTCCAACTATCTCATTTTCTTTCTTTCAAACACAGTGGAGAGCAGCACTCTGTAGTCTGTCTGCCCATCAGCATACACCACCGTATCAGGGAAGAACCTGTGTATGAACCAGGGGGTGTTCTTCAGGGAGTACAGTCCCTTTCTTATATGTGAGCTCTCAGTCAGGGGAAGAACAGGCAGATGCTCTCTAGAAGAATCCCCAAGACATCTTTCTTGCTGATTTGAGAGCCACAACACTCTGCAAAGCATGAAGGAACACTCTCTCTCCTCTTAGGTGACCTACCTTCTGATTTCACTGAAGGGCACCTTCCCAACAGATTCCTATCAGTCTAGCAGCTGGCAATTAATGGTTGGGAAAGATGTAGTCACATTCCCAATAGACCCCTGTCCTCCAAGAAGGGTCTACCTTGTTGATAGCTCCACCCAGAGTGTTTTGGCTGTGAGTGTATCTTCACTAAAGATACTGAACTGATTCCTTGCAAGAGTGTCCTGTTGATTTGAGAGGGTGCTCAGGGAGGCTAGTAGAGTGTTGATTAGGAAGGCAGATTCCACTACTTTTTTTTCAGGTCAGGTCAGAAATGACCCATAGCTGACCCTCCAGTGGATTTTCAGGGGCAGTAAATCACATAGACGATTGCCCATCCTTCTGAGAGCAGCTAGTACATTTGAACTGCATGTCATTGGGGCTTCAACTTCTTAACGCTACAAACAGACCTCCAGGGATTTTAGGGCAGAAGCTTGCATTCAGCTGGGGTTGTCGTGGTTAGTGAAGCAGGCTCATTTTGTGGGGCCATTACCCACTTCATAGAAACCAACAGCCCGTGTGGCTGAGAGAGGTGCAAAGATGGGGATGTTCAGCTCATTGTTAATAAGGTGACTCTTGTTTGGCTTCAGTCCCCATCTGGTTTCCTTGTCATAGAGCCCCTCAAAGCAAACACTGTTTTCTTCTTGTATTTCTTCTTGTATCTGTGGAGTGTGTCTGCTCAGAATTGCCTCTTTACAAGTCTCTTTTTTTATTTTGTTTTCTTTACTGAAAATTTCACCACTTGCTTGGGCTCTATCAATTAAAAAAAGCAATTTTACAAGTTAATTGGAAGCTATTTTACAAATTGCTTAGTATTTGAGCTATAATAATTACTCTGTTTAAGCTGTATTGTAATATTTTATGAGCTTATATATTTTGATCATTAACAAATTGAGCAAGATTAAGGTTTGATTATTACTTTTGAGGTTGTAAATTTGTTTACCAATCACTATAGTGTCAGTGTTTTAAAGTTTATTTAAAAAAATAACTCACCTTTTTGAAAACTACCTTCCTTAAAATAAAAAAGAAAAAAATTTTCTTTTTAGGTGTCAAGAAATAAAGCCAGAAGAAAGAAGCATGATTTTTGTGACAAAATGTCCGTGTGATGAATGTGTACCTTTAATTAAAGGTGCAGGCATAAAACAAATCTATGCAGGAGATGTTGATGTTGGGAAAAAGAAGGCAGATATCTCTTACATGAAGTTTGCAGAACTTGAGGGTGTTAGCAAATTCACAGTAAGTAAATGCTTTTTTCAAGGTTTTCTTGGTACATATATCATAGTGACTGCTACGCTAGTAGAGAATTTCAGTAGGCTACAAATTAATTAAGCTTATTTTTAGGTGCAGACACATACATAATTGTAAATATACAAGTTGAATTTTGACACTACATTATCTTGAACACCAAGCTGATAAAAGAAAATGATTCACTAGTCCCTCTGGCTTGGGATAGTGGGAAAAGGTGGAAAATATACTACCCAAAAGATGGCGATCCATGCATGTTTCATCAGGAGAAGCAGCAGAAAACAATTGAGAATTTGGCATTTTTAAAAAGAGGTGAAATATTAAGGTAAATTCATGGCAAACTCAGAATTAACTCTACACTTTTCCCTCCCACTGTTTAGATTTTTAAATTTTCTTCTTAACCTATTCCAACCATACATAAAAGTCAAAAGAAACAAATAATACAAAGAATTTGAGATTAAGTTGTTGACATTGATAAAAAGTCATCCTCAATTGCTTTAATGTATATTTTTTCCAACAGAAATATTCTCCTACATAATCATAATACATGTACCAAGATCAAGAAATTAATGCATTGTTGTTATTGATTGTCTTCGAATCGAGCATAACTCAACCTTTTGAACAAAAGACCTAAAGCCCATCTACAACTATTGACATTTATCAAAGTTTATAGAGTTTCCGGAGGCATACTGTTTAGGAAGTGGACGCCACTCCTGCTTCCAAACCTGTCATAGAATATTATTGTTCGTTGAGTCACCTGCAACGCATAGAGACCCTATATACAGAAGCTCTGAACCCTTCCCTCTCCTGAGCCAGTCTCACTGATTCTGTCACACAAACCCCCATTGTCCCAGTTACTGTATCAATCCATCTCATCTGGGGTCTCCCTCTCCTGTGCTGTCCATCCACCCTTCCAAGCATAATGTCCTTCTCCAAGGACCGATCTCTCCTTGCTACATGCCCAAAGTAAGTGAGGCAGAGCTTCAAAATCCTAGCCTCCAAGGAGAGACTTGGTTTTACCCTCTTCAAGATAGACCTATTTTTTTTCTTGGCAGTCTGTGATATGTTCAAGACTTTCTCCAGCACCACAACTCAAAAACATCTTTTCTTCTGTCAACCTTAGACATTGTTCAACTCTCTGAAGCATAACAAGTAATTGAGAAGACCATGGCCTGGATTAGGCACACCTTTGTATCTAGATTGACATCGTTGCTCTTCAGCACTGGAGCGGTCCATGACAGCTGATTTTCTGAATGCAATTCATCTTTTGATTTCCTGACTGCTGGTATTAAGAATGTTGATTGCGGATCTGAGCAAGCTGTATTTGCTAACAACCTCAATATCTTCTCTATCTGTTATGGTGCTGCTAATTGGCCCAGTGGTGAGAATCTTTGTCTTCTTGATATTGAGCTTCAATCCATATTGAAAACTTCAGGTCTTCTTCAGTTTCTTCAGTTTCAGCAAGCAAGGTTGCATATCATAGGTGTTAATGAGTATTCCCCCAATCTTAATGCCACACTCCTCCTTATAAAGTTCTGCCTCTTGAATGATCTGTTCTGCATACAGATTGAAAAGGTATGGGGACAGGATCCATCCTTGACACACTCCTTTCTTGATTTTTAATCATGCAGTATTTCCTTGCTCTGTTCTGAGGACTGCTTCCTGGTTCAAGTATAGGTTTCATACAAGCATGATCAAGTATTCTGAGATTCCCATTTTTCTCAAGGTTAGCCACAATTTATTGTGATCCACACAGTCAAATGCCTTTGAATAGTCAATGAAACACAGATAGATATTCTTCTGATACGCTCTGCTTTCTGCCAAGATCCAGCTGATATTGGCAATAATATCCCCAGTGCCACGGCCTCTTCTAAACCCTGATTGTATTTCTGGTAGTTCTCTGTCAGTGTACTGTTCAAGTCTTTTCTGGATAATCTTCAGCAGTATTTTTCTAGTGTGTGATTTTAGTGATATTGTCAATAATTTCCACACCCTGTCAGGTCACTTTTTTTTGGAATGGGAATAAATATGGATCTCTTACAGTCAATTGGCCAAGTTTAATCCATTTATCCTGTTATGGTTCCACCAGTTGCTCCATAATGTTTTAGACAGCAAAAATATTTGTTCAGAGTTATGAGTTGCTTTTTTTTATTATATTCTATCACTTAATACATTTAATCCTAGTATTTGATGTTATTTTTATATATTAGAATTTCCAGTGGATAATAAAGGCATGTAATAGAACCATTTAGAAATTTCATCTTCACATTCCTGTTATCCAATCAGAGAAAATAATGCTTTTTCTAGTAGTATACAGTTTTTACCACTTTTATTTTCATTGGGTATTCTTTATTTTAAATTTATTTATTTACATTTTATCAGAGCTAGAGATGGTATAAACACCATCTTCTAAGCCCAAGGCATTCTCAGGAAGCTCTCCTTCAGATAAAGACGAGATCTCTAACTTTCTTTTTTAATTTTTATTTTATTATTTGTGTGTGTGTGTGTGTGTGTGTGTGTGTACCGTCAAATCAGATCTGACTGGTACAGGAGGAGATTGTCCCTCCTTTCCCAGCAGAGCATTTGGTGGATTCAAACCGTGCTCCTCTGGGATTGCAGTGCAGCTTCTTGCCACTAGGCCACCAGAGCTCCCCAAGAGATCTCTAACTTTCAACCCTCCCTTCCTCTAGCCTTTCTTGTAGTGCTACGTAAATTATTTAAACTATTTCCTGGTTAACTAAATAACTAGTTTTGACATATGAGTAACTAAAGTAAGCACTTGAGTTTATTCTAAGTTTGAATTTCAACAATGATCATGCTCATAATATCAGATTAATTTTCCTTTAAAAAAAAACAACAAACAACTTTCTGTTGTGATTTGGTGAAAACTTTCAGAGTAACTTGGTTTTCCATTCAACAACTCATGCACATTGTGTTGTGTGACACTGGCTGCACTCTCCACGTAGCAACAACACTGCCTGCTTACCGTGGTGCCTTGTTTCCACTTTAAATAGTCCTCTTTCCTATTTTTTCCTGGCTTCTGTGAATCATCCTGGGCAGATGTTGCCCTTTTGACCATGGATGATTTTTCTAAGGAGTTGATTCCTTGCTGGTGTTACTGATCAACTTCTAGGCCTGTTTGATTGGAGTTGAGTCATGGAGCTGGTTTCGTTTCCAGGCTTAAAGGGTAATGAAAAGCCATTGTTTTCTGGGTAGGTCCCACCAGCCTCTGTGAGACCAGTAAATATGATTTTTGAGCTTTGTCTCACAATTCTCCCCTTCAATCAATACCCTTCTCTTGTCATCCCTTAAAACTAATTTTCAATAATTATGCAAAATTTCAACATAGAGACATGCTAGAGATCATTTAACCACCCCTCATCTGATGGGCACCTAGATTGAATGTTAAGATTTTACAGTTATAAATAGGATAGATTTCTTTTATATTTTCAAGCTGCTGGTAAGTTGTTACTAAGGTGATCTCCACAAGGATTGTACCAATTTTTTTTATATAAACACTGCAATTTCTGCACTCTTTTTCAGCATTAAGGTTGTAGATTATTTTACTTTCCTTTTTATCAAAATTTCAATTTGAGAGGTTAAAAATTGTCATCCTGTATTTTACACGGAAAATATGCCTGTTACACACTTTTTTGCCAATTGGCACCAGCTTTACTCCTTGTTATTTTCATATGCAAAGTGTGCCATTTTCTATGCATTATGCATTCACGGAGGGAGATTGCCCATCCTTCTTTGAGGAGCTGCTAGTGGATTCAAACCTCCAGAGAGGCAGCATCTTTGGGTTAGCGGCACGGCTCTCTGTGGGCCATGCGACCAGAGCTCTCTATGGTGTACTTACATGTGTCAGCATATTATTTATTAAAAATATAGCTCTTGATTTTCTTTCCTTTTTCTCCTTGATGACTTGTGACATAAAATACTTTTTCTTTCTTTTTTTAAAAAAATCCTTCCTTTTATACTCTCTGTTCATTCTGTGTTACCTTTCCAATCATGTGTCTGCTGTCTAAACATCGATCCCTCCTCCCTCATCTTCCCATCCCTAGTAATCACCAACAAACATTGTTTTCTGTTTGGATACCTAGTCTTCTCATTGTAAAAGTGGGCTCATAGAATATGTATCCTTTTGTAGTTGGCTTATTTCACTGAACTTATTATCTTTCAGATTTATCTGTTGTTTTGAATACTAATCACTGTTTTTTGTATTTGCATAATATTTTTTGCATATATGTACCACAATTTGCTTAGCTAGTCATCTATTGATGAACACTTAGGTTTTTTCTATCTTTTTGCTGTTAAGAATAATACTGCAGGGTACATAGATGTGCATATGTTTCTTTATATCACTATTATTGTATTAGATTATACACCTAACAGCTGAATTGCTGGATCCTATGCTAGGTATTCCTATTTCTAGCTTTCTGAGGAAGTACCACACTGTTTTCAAATACAGTGATTGTACACCTTTATAACCCTACTCCCAGTCTGTTGATTTTCTTCTTACCATGTTGGAGAAGTTTGGTGTGCATAGGAATTCGATTCTTAGAAGGTCCCATTCATCTATTTAATCCTCTCCTCGTTGCATGTTTTTATTATGTTTGGAAGTCTGTTCATAATGCGGATTAGGGCTTCTGGAGTTATTTCTAGTTCATCTCTGATGAGTTTTATAGTCTTTGGTTTTCCTCCTAGGTCCCTGATCCATCGTGAGTTGGATTTGTGTATGGTGTGATGTGTGGGTCTTGCTTCAGTTTCCTGCAGATGGTTTTTCAGTTTTGCTTTGGCCACTTTAATGTCCCCCTTGGTGCGGTGTTTAGTCATATTCTTTGTCATTTTTAAAATTGGATTGTTTATCTTTGTGTTCAAGACTTCTGTGCAAAATCTTGAATGATCCAGGAAGCATCAAAAGAAAATGGTGGGACTATACATAGTTACTGTATCAAAAGGAACTGGCCAACACTGGAATATGTCAGGAA